AATGATGTCCCATATAGGGTGAGCCAACGCCCAGTACAGATATGCTAAACATAATATAAGCAATAACTAAGACATTAGCAATTGATAAATGTTTAACTCACATAAATCAATTCATAACCCATTTCAATTACATGACCAAGTGTCCATGTTTTATTCCAGTTCTTATCCAAATTTCCAATCCATAACCCTGGCTCAAAACCTGGCCATATACTTTAATAGAGATTTCATCTCATGTCAACAGTTCTTCCATTTCAATAATTCAAATGAGATAACAACTCATAACAAAATACTTCCATAAGTCTCAACAGATACACATATTTGCTGTATCATTGACACATACAAACACTTCCTTACTTCACAAGTGATACATGGATTTGCTGTATCAACACTTCAATAGATACACAGAATTGCTGTATCAATGGAGTCCATCCCCTATCTCCTCCCACATAACATTCGGTTTAGGAGTCCATCCCTATCATCCCCTAAACCGTTGAGTAAATCCCCTATCTCCTCCTACACAACACAATGTATATAAACAACTATCATATACATGTTCAATCAATACACAAATTCGATGTATTATTCCAGTTGTCATATTCGATGACATAATCAATTGATTAATTCCAGTTTGCCTAATCATCATGCATTGTCTACAACAATCACGACTATCCTCCACCGATAGCCCAAAGCCATTATTTCTAAACAGATAATAAATGCATCAACAGATAGTTCATCAACATTTTCAAAAGTGAGCGATTAATAAATCCAACTTCACTATCCCATCTCATAATGAGCTAATTTCATTATATTCAACTCAATTTCATATTCTCATAACAAATGTCATTAATTACTTAAATGACCCCATTATACCCAAACATGACATTTTTTCCCCTTTTTCCAATATTGACCCAAAGGTCCAAATATCAATAACTAACATCAATAACCTCCTTTTTTTGACCCAAAATAATTATATATGAGCCAAAAGAATAAAACCCCTCTTTTCATTATTACATGACTCAAACCCTAACTTCCCAAATCAAACCATCTATACAAATAGCTCAACATCTATGTTAAAGCATATAAGAATGAGTAGGAATGCCTACCTCAAATTAGAAGCCCAAAGGAGAAGTTGACCGAAATCCAAAGTGCTCCAAAACCAATATTTCTCAAATTAAATCGAAGCCCAAGCCACCCTCTATCTTTCTTACAAAGGACTTAGGGTAGAAACGCACTAAAGTGGGATGAAACCCTAGAGAGAAGGTAGGAAGTAGTGAGAGAAGCTCTCAGATCTGGTTTTTCAAAAGTATGAGAGAGAGAGAGAGGAAGTGTAAAAAGTGAGCTAAAAAGACCAAGCTGTTAACTGATATACGCATGACCCGCTCGAGCGGAGAATAGGACGCTCGAGCGTCAAGCACAAAAACTAGACCCGCTCGAGCGTAGAATGACCCGCTCGAGCGTCAGACACAAAAACAAAACACACCCGCTCGAGCGCAAAGAAAAGCCCGCTCGAGCGTAGATTACCATCTTCCAGTAGTTTTACAGGCATTGAACACCCGCTCGAGCGCCAAGAGGCCCGCTCGAGCGCGACCTGCTCGAGCGTAAGGAAACCCGCTCGAGCGTGAAAAACCCACTTGCAGAAGTTTTACAGGGGCACGAAATGCTGAGAGTGTGTAAACTCCGCTTGAGCGTACCACCAAAATTCTGGGCAACAAGGAATGGGACAAAAGCTCAACCAACCTGTTCGAAACACGCCCAATACATCCTAAAACTCAAACACACAGAATTAAAGGATAACAACAAGATATACAACCACCAACTCCACAGAACCTAAGTCCAGAATACAACAATCAAAGAAAGGGAAACCGGGATCGCTATAGATATAGCTTATGCAGTTAGTAAATTAAGTAGATATACAAGAAATCCGGGAGTAGAACACTGGAAAGCAATTATAAGGCTTCTTAGATATCTCTGATTTACTCATAACATTGGGCTTAATTATACTAGATATCCGGCAGTACTTGAAGGATACTGTGATGCAAATTGGATATCAGATACTAAAGACTCAAAGTCCACCAGTGGGTATGTCTTTACTCTTGGTGGGGCGGTTGTATCTTGGAAATCTTCCAAACAGACTTGTATTGCTAGGTCTACTATGGAATCAGAATTCATAGCTTTAGACAAAGCTGGGGAAGAGGCAGAATGGCTTCGCCACTTCCTTGAAGATATTCCAATATGGCTGTAGCAAGCCCGCTGGGGGACCTTCGCTACTACAGTTCAGACTCGCGATTTTTGTTGTCGGGGTTCTTAATCTGAACCAAAGAGTCCAAATCTGGCAAATCATTTTGAGAAACAGATTTTTGAAAAAGTAGTGCCAAACATGGACTGTTTTGCCAGATACAGAGTCGCCACCTAAATATTTTTAAAATGGGGAAATTTAGGAAACCCTGACTCGGTGCCAAAGGCCACATGTCCGTCATCACCGGAGTTGTCTCGGCTCGGGAGCTTGGGTACGATCGGGGAAGGTCAGCTATGAGCACCCCCTTTCGCCCGGTCCGAAGACCGGCCTCTACTAACCATGATATCCGATTTTGAAAACGTTATGTGTTCTTATTCCATTTGTTAGCCTAGAATTACTATGTTTGCGCGCAGCAAACAAGTATAGACTAGATTGCCTAATTTGGAAAGAAACATTGCATATCCGTTTGTTTTGAAAATGCTTTGAAATTTGCTACTCGCAAGTAGGCTAAAACACGGATTTTAATGAGTTTTTCCAACTCAAAACAATCCAACCTTCACCCACAGGCATCCAAACAGTTTAACACATAAGCATTTAGCCGCATGGCAAGCATACTGTCATGTTAACATTCACACACATGCGAGATGCTAAAGCATAAATACTTACATCGTACTCCGTGCCAAAACAGTAAACTAGTTAGCAAAACATGCGTGTCCTAGTTCATGTTAAATTGCCTAATGCAACACATACAGGATGCAATTAGATAGGCTCGGCTAATCTAAGCATGGCATATAAAATGCGATCAACTATCACATATTCAATTTTCTTGAATTGAAGTACAAATGCAGTTAGCGTGATGTACCGAGCCTAATGCATGCAATACAAATGGATGCACACATGCATAGCATAAGGTATGCTAAATTAAATGTGCCCTAATCTACCATCATAAGCAGGTAAATAAAAGGGAAGAAAGAAGTGGGGTTGGAAGACATACACACCGCCCACGCACACTTATTACAGATTTGCCCTCACTCGGAGGGACCAAATAAATATTACAAATTAATTAACTACACAAGCTAATTAAAATATACAAATTGCCTAATCAACTAAGCAAATTAACTAAAATTAAGAAAGCAGGAAAATCGCCTCGGGAAACGCGCCGCCATGCGTGAGCTGCTCTGTTTTCCTTCCTCCACTCCTCTGGAGGTTGCAAAAACCTCAGGACTGCTTCCTTGGGCAATGGGGATCACCACCGGCTGAATGAAATTGCCACCGGCAGTGGGGTGTGGCCACCGGCACAAAGTGAAGCTGTCGGCAGAGAAATTATTGCCGGTCGGCACCTTACACTGCCGGTCGGCAGAGTGTTCCTACAGAATCTGCAAATGACAGCAACAGAGGGCAAGGCAAAGCATGGCAGCACAATTCAAGGCATATATGCACCAACCATGTCCCTTATCATGGTAATGACTCAAAGGGGCATGTGCCTCGATTCTCGGACACCCAATCACGCATTTCCATGCATGATGGCCCAAGGAACCAAGTATGCAACTTTCATATCAAATGAAATGCAAACCAAATCAAATCAAACAAGGCCCAATTCCTATCACTAAGTCAAGGAACAAGGCATTCATGCAGAATGCAATGCAACCTAGGCATACAAGCTAAGGATGCAACATGGCATGGCAACAAACTTATGCAAGCATACAAGCAAGCATGAGGCAATGCTAATAGATGCAAATGTGGTCTTAAACATGATTTGGGCAGCTCTAATAAGGCCCAAAACAGTAGCCAAAATGCTATAACGAGGGACCAAACACAAATGCACACATACAATGTTATGGTCCAAACCTTAAGCATTAAGCAAGCAACATTCAAGCACACTCGACAAGAGATTTCATGGACAATTAGCATGCAATATGAGCTCTAAAATCATGCTAAAACATGGTGCCAAACCAAGCAACAAATCAAGCCAAGCATGCAACAAATGGCCCAAGTGCTCAAAACAAAACAATGGAGTATTGAACTACACTTAGCAAAACCAAACATGGCATGGAATCATTGGCCAAAAACAGAGTTTTGGGACATTAATACAAGGCTAGA